CAACACACACACACACACACACACACACACACACACACACACACACACACACACACACACACACACACACACACACGCAACACCACTTATACCACCCCTCACCAACAGGAGCGCGGCGTTGAAGTGGAGGCGGCGGAGGTCGAGTACATCCCAACCAATATGGCCACGCCATCGTACGTACCTGGCACATGCGCTCGACTTCTGGCGTTTTGTTCCTTGAAGCGGAAATGTGTTCATGCCATTCGCAAATACACACACGCACACATACATACATACATACATACATACATACATACATACATACATACATACATACATACATACATACATACATACATACATACATACACACATACATACATACATACATACATACATACACGCACTCACTCACATGCACACATACATACATACATGCACACACGTGCACACACTTGCACACAAACACACATGCACACACATGCACGAGTGCAGGAAGAAAGAAGAGGCGACGGTGCGGACGCTGCTTGGCCGGTTGGAGGAGTGCGAGAACGTGACGCAGGTCGTGTCAAACATCGGAGATGCACACGCTGATGCAGACGAGGAATAAATTTTTTCGGGGACTTAGCTCGAGGGATGGTGATTGTGAGCAGGCCAGCACGCCAATGAATTGATTTTGATGCTCCTCAATACACCAGTCACACCCATTAGGGATAGAGAGCAAGAACAGCTTGCTTCAAAGCACCACAATCATGCAAACACACGCAACACACACACACGCACATATACATCACATCACGTCACACACAGCACAACACAACACAACGCAACACACACACACACACACACACCATCCGTCCCCTCGCCCTCAGTGTCATTGCTTGGTGTGGGCGGCGAGGTTGTGTGCAATGTGTTCCTGGAGCGCCGCCAGGGGATTGGACCTGAACGTCGAGTTGGACAGCACATTCTGCATCTGTACCATCTCGGTTGCCCTGCAATGGAGTGCACGCGAAAAGAAGGAGTGAGCAATGAAGTAAGTCCATGGTTGGAAAGGTGCCGATTGAAACACTCGCTGGCAAACTCGCATGACACACACACACACACACCATGCAACACACACATATCACTCAAACACATCACTCAAACACAAGCTCACACACACACACACACACACACACACAGAGCGCACTCTTGTACTCACAGCGCCGTTTGCCTGGCTTTTCTGCGAACGATGCGCTGTGATGATGCGACGCCAGCTGTGGGTTCACTGGGTTGCTTGTTCTTCTTTCCTCTCCTCTTGCTCCGTTGCTGCTGTTTCTTGGCACCTTTCTTGCCTTTCTTCGTCAGGGTGTGCAGCCTGGCTGCGGTTGCCTCGTCCAAGTCAATGTCCATCGCCTTTGCCATCTTCCGTGACGCCGCCGTTGCGGAGGCGGCTGCCATCACAGCTGCATCGCTGCTGTTGCTGTTGCTACTGCTGTTGCTTGCCTTCACGGGCGTAGCCGCCTTGCTGCTCTTCTTTCGCAGCGCCGTCGCTTCATCCCGCCGAGCCGTCAGCCCTGTCGTACACGTGGTGTCATGGTTTTGGATGATGTGCGGCTTGGTGCGCGTGAGCACATGCATGCATAAAAGTGCTCAAGTACGCGTCTGAATAACCACAAACACACACACACACACAGACACAAACAAATTTACAAACAAACAAGCAAGAAGCAAGCAAACACAAACACACACACACACACATTAGCAAACAAACAAACAAGCAAGCAAGCAAACAAGCAAGCAAACAAACAAGCAAACACAGACACACACACGCATACACACCAACACACGCACGTTGGATGAGCTGGGCTGTCCTCTGCTCGCGCTTGGCTGTCTTGTTGTTGCGCTTGCCCATCCTGGACCATGTGGGTGCTGAAAATTGGCGAATGATGCGGCAACTTTTCCCAACTTTGGATGGCGGGAAACAGCGATGGCGACGATGATGGAAGCAACACTGACACACAACAACCAAGGGGCGCAGGCGACACCAACACGCAGTGACGACGAGGCCTCAAAGAGACCAAAGTTGGGGGCGGGGTGCGTCGCCGCTATGAATGAATCAGCAGCACAGAGGGCAACCCAAGACAGAGAACACAGTGGCCACCACCAAACTGTAAACATTACCAAGGACACGCTGCATCCCCACCCAAAACAACACCCACCACCACCACCACCACCACCACCACCACAACATCAACAACAGCAAGAGCCAGAAAGCGCGCCCGCGCAAGAAGACGAAGACACGCCGCAAATACAGAAGAAGCAGACAAGTCAAACGGCAAACCAACAACGAATACACGAACAGCACAACCAACAAGGGCCAGATGCGCCACTACCAGCACCCCCGCCAGCACCAGCGCCAGCAGACGCAACTGACGTCGGCGTCAAACTGGCTGCACAGCTGCTGGGAACGAGCACAGCCATCGTGGTTGCCGCGGGCGCTGGCATGAGCCTCGATTCCGGGCTGCCGGACTACAGGAGCCCAGCAGAGTGGACCGCGGCGTTCCCGGAACTGGCTGCGCGGCAACTCCGATACGAGGACATGGCCAAGGCAGCGCACTTCGACGACAGCCCGCGCGTGGTCTGGGCGTGGTACAAGCACCGCTACGACACGTACCAGGCCGCACAGCCGCACGCCGGGTACGCCGTCCTCAAGCGATGGTGCGATGGTGCGCGGGATGGCTACCGCGTCTTCACCAGCAACGTCGACGGCTTCTTCCAGCGTGCCGGCTTCCCGCGCTCAAGCGTGGTCGAGTGCCACGGGTCCATGGCCCGGCTGCAGTGTACAAGTGGCAAGCACGGCATCTGGAAGAGCGACGCCGCTTTCCGCAAGCTCAGCGTGGATCCACAGGACCCGTGCACGCTGGCTGCTGGCGTGGAGGTCCCGCGCTGCCGCACGTTTGGCTGCCAGCGACACGCGCGACCAAACATCCTCCTGTTCAAGGACACGGCGTGGGAGGGGACGGCGGCGACAGCGCACCGAGGCCGATACGGCGCGTGGCTCGACGCGCTCCCCGACGACAGCACACTGGCGATATTGGAGGTTGGCGCGGGAAACCTCGTACCGACGGTGCGGCTGGAGGTGGAGCGGGTGGTGGCGTCGCGGCTGGCACGACAACAGCGCACGCACGTGATCCGCATCAACCCGGGTCGCGATGTGCAGGACCCGAGCGTGCAGTGGCCGGGGCAACACGTGGTCATCAGGGGGAAGGCCTTCGATATCCTCACCAGCATCGACGCCGCAATGGCAATGGAAACCGCATGACGAGAGAGAGAGAGAGAGAGAGAGAGAGAGAGAGAGAGAGAGAGCTGTGTGTGTATGAAATGTGTGTGTGCGTGCGTGTGTGCGTGTGTGTGTGTGCGTGTGTGTCTGTGTCTGTCTGTGTCTGTCTGTCTGTCTGTCTGTCTGCGTGTGTTTATATTCCTCTTTGTGCAACTTTGTTGGTTACGTGTTTCCATCTGTGTGCAGAGCACTCTTTGTCCCGTTTCATGTCAGATTCTTGTAAGTGAATGAATGGTCGAAACGTAAAATAATGTCACATAACTCAACAGCAGACCAGCACACATGCGTGAAGCTTAGGACCAAGGAAGTGACAAAAGTGCTTCTGGTCGCCACAGCCACAGAAATAGCATCTCACAACATCAACGCAGGAACATCGATACGAACTCCAACAACTTGAACAACTTCAACAGCACCCGTACTCAACACCCTAACACCAACACCAACATCAACACCACACGACGGTGTTCAGCGTGCAAGGTCCTTGTTCGTCTTGAGCTCTTCAAACGTTGGTCGGCTCGCTGGCTCCTGGCTCATGCACGTGCGAGCGAGGGTCCGGAACCACATTGGGATGCCGGCCGCGGCAACTGCACATCGTGGGCACAACCACCAAACCATGGCATATGTAAGCGATGAAAGCAGCAAGGACAAGACATCGGCCAGAGAAGAGGACAACAAGAACCCAGCCACCCTGACAGCAGCACATGAACACCAACGCGCAACGTATTACACCCAACAACGCAAACCCACCCAAAACATCACACGAGACACACACTCAACTCAACACACCCGACACACTCTACTCAACACACTCAACACATCACAGATTACAACGCATCACATACGTCACAAGCAACACGCAATGAATGGACGTTCAACAACGCAAAACACCACCCATTGCTCCCATCCCCCTCACCGTCATCATCCGTGAACGTGAGGCGCTTTCCATCCCCCAATAGCTCCTGCAACGTGGCGAGGATCGGGCCGCGGTACCCGCTCCCCTTCTCCTGTGCAATCAAGTCCGGTGGTCGCTGTGTCGCCACCTCCCACATCAGCACGCCAAAGCTGAACACGTCTGCTTCAAAGCTGTATTTGTCGCCAAGCAGTGCTTCTGGTGCCATGTACAGCGGCGTGCCCACGCCAGCCGTCAGCGTCATGCTCGTCATCGTCTGCAGCCCAGTGCGCTGCGAGTACTGCGGATCAGAGTTAGAGCCTTTGGGCGACACGAGTCGCGTCTGCTTCATTTTGCCGCCGCCGCGGCCACGCGTGAAGCACTGGCGGATGGATCCGAAATCCGTGATCTTCGCGCGCAAGTTCGCAGAGACCAGCACGTTGCCGCTCTTCAGATCTCTGTTTGGGTGGTGTTGGGGAGGGGATTTGATGTGAACATGTAACGGGAGAACGGGGGAGGGCCTGAAGTATTAACCTGCTTGCAGACACACTCAGCACACACAACACACACACACACACACACTCTCTCTCTCAGCACACACAACACAACACACAACACACACAACACACAACACACACAACACACACACACACACACACACAAAATATCCCACTCACCGGTGCATCTGGTCGAGGCTGTGGATAAAGGCCATGCCACTCGCAACGTCACGCAGTAGCCGCAGCTTCAGGTCCCAAGCAGTTGCAACACGGGATGTTCCTGCGCCTGAGCCAGTGCCAGGCGTGCTGACCAGCGTAATGGTTTCGCCAACGTCCTCAGTCAGCACTTCCTCGTGGGCTTCATGCTCGGTCCTCCTCTCCCTCACCTCCCTCAACACCTGTGCCATATCCTTCCCCAACAGGTCTTTGAGTGACCCCATGGCCACAAACTCCAGCACCAGGAACGGGCTGCCGTTGGGGTCTGTGCCCGCGCCAAAGAAGCGCACCACATGCGGGTGCCTTGTCTTCTGCAAGAACTCCACCTCCTTCTCAAACTCTACCACCATCGTGTCATCAAGAAGCATCAAACTCTCTTGCATCACTTTGACTGCCACTGTCACCGTGTCCCACTCGGCCTTGAACACCACGCCAAACGCACCCGCAGCAACACGCTTGATCATCCTCAGCTCATCGAACTCAATCTCCCATGCCTGCTTCAGCGCAATTACCTCTTCCTCCCTCTCTGCCAGCAGTTGCTGATGCATGCCGATGCGCTTGCTCAGGCCGCGGTAGCGGCGTGATAGCCACGTCACAAGCAGCCCAAAGGCAAGCCCGCCAATCACAGAGCCAACGGCAATGGCAGCCACGTTGGGCGCATTCACAACGCACCGCCCGTCTTCCATCTTGAAGCCCTGCGCACATGTGCAGCGAAAGCGGTACGTGGGCCGGCTCAACACCACATCGCTGTTGTCCACGTGTCGCAACCGAGTGTTCTCGAGCTGGACCCGACACTGTACGGGGACCTTTGCCAGCTGCAGGAGAGGTGGGGTGGTGCGCGATGTCAAAACCTCACTGTAGTCAGACAGCCCGTACGTGCGCGAGGCGTCCGACAGGACAACAATGTCTTGCGTTATGGCGTCGATGGTGGCTCTGTCGTTGATCCACCTGTTGCCAGAAAACTCCACCACATCATTGTTCTTCAAGCACTGCTGCAAGAGTCGCTGCACGCCTGGTCCTGCAGCAAAATCAGGGTGCTTCATTTCGCGCGCAAACAGCATCTGCGCACCAAGCGTCTCGCACAGCGTGCCCAGAGGCGGAAGGAGCGTCCGTGATACGTCGAGAATGTCCACGATGGCAGCGTCGATTGTAGTCAGCTGCGGGCAGTCCGAGACATTCAGCTGCAGCAAAGGCTTATTGCCGGCACGCACGACTTGCAGGCGGCTGTTCTCTTGGAAGAAGAAGGAACCCAGGTTGGCTGTTGTGCAGTGCTCGACGTCAATCATGGTTAAGCCTGTGCGCCTGATGCCAAACTCGGATGCATCGTCTGCAAGCATGTCACAGAGCACATGCATGGGAACCGTGTGCTCGTCCATGCCTGGCCAGCCCAGCTCGAAACTGCTGAGCTCCATGCGGCGTGGAAAGCCAGGTTGCGTTGGCGCTTGCTTGTCGCGAAACATGGCACTCATGTCAATATTGTGCACGCTGAGCACGCGAATCGGGGACGTGGCTGTGGCTTCGGTGGTGTTGCGATTGAGAGCCTGCCTATCGACTGTGGCAAGCGTATCGACATCGTTGGCTGCCGTCACGACCAACGTGTGCAAGTGCCTCAGTTGCAGCAGAGGCGTAAAGTCAATTTGCGAAATGCGGTGCTCTTGCATACGAACCCTCTGCAAGTTTGGATATGCCATCAAGTTTGGCATGTGCTGCAGCGGGTTGAAACTAAGGTCCAACACCTCCAGTTTGGGTGTGTTGCCCTGATACGCCGTGAGTTGGTTGTTGTTGGCGAACAGCACCTTCAGTGCCACCATTCCGTCCACAAGCCGGTCGATGGTGGTGAGGTGGTTGTCTCCAACAAACAGGGCAGTCATGGACTGCTTCGCTGCCGCAGTGAACAAGTCGTCCGGCAGTGTGTACAGCTGATTCCGCAGCAGGGTGACAGCTTCGAGCTTGTGATTCGACGCGAACAGATCCGAAGGAATGTGGGTGAGCCTGTTGTCGTGCAGGAACAGCTCCACCAGCTCAGTCAACTCGTGAAAGATGCCTGATGGCAAGGAAGGGAGGGCATTATCCCCAAGGTCCACTGTGGTTAGCTGGTTCAGGCCTTCAAAGAGCTTGGGGGGCAGTGATTTCAGGAAGTTGTCGGTCATGTTGACAATGTGCAAGTTGGTGTTCGTGGAGAAGATGCCTGCAGGCACTGTCGTGAGTGCGCACTGTTCGAGCTCAATCTCCCGCAAGTTGGCAAGGCCGGTAAAGGAATTTGAAGACAGCTCCCTCAAAGGGTTGCGATTGACGCTCAGCTTCTCCAAGTTGACCAGGTCACTGAAGTATGCATGCTCAAACACCGTGAGGTCATTTCTGTCCAGCACGAGCTCGCGTAGGCCGGTCATGCTTGCAAATGCATCCTTTGAAATGCGGGAAATGACATTGTTTGTGAGTGTAAGGGAGCGCAGAGAGCGCAGCGGGGTCAGGTCGCCCGTGAAGATGCCCGAGAGCCAATTGTGGGCAAGGTTGAGCGTGTCAAGCCTTGTCATGTCGTGGAAGAACAAGTCGTCGAACGTGGCAATGGCGTTGGAGCTTAGGTCGAGCTCGACAAGTCGTTCGGCAACGTTGGGGTGTGTGTGCAAGTCAGCGATGCTGCTGTTCGCCAGGGAGAGCACGCGCAGCTGTGGCAGCTTGCTGAACACACCCAAGTCCAGTTTCGGTGCCCTGAGGTGGACGACGGCGAGCGAGTTGAGCTGCGGCCACGCGTTTAACTCGTCAAAGAGAAACTCCAGCATGCCAACTGTCATTTCAGTGGTGCTGACCACAATCAAACGCTCAACCATCCTGGCCAAGGAAGGCGAGACCATGGTAGAATCATTCCCTGTGGCGTTGTTGGGCTTGACTGGTGGATCAGACGGCACAATCAGTGTCAGGTTGACGACTGGCTCCGCTTGCGGCCGTTCGCACGCCCCATGAATGGCCTGCTCAAGCGTGCATTCCACAAAGCCTTCTGTATTCTGCTCAACACTGCGCCGTTGGCGGCGGGAATCGTGTTGTTGTTGTTGTTGTTGTTGTTGTTGTTGTTGTTGTTGTTGTTGTTGTTGTTGTTGTTGTTGTTGTTGTTGTTGTTGTTGTTGTTGTTGTTGTTGTTGTTGTTGTTGTTGTTGTTGTTGTTGTTGTTGTTGTTGTTGTTGTTGTTGTTGTTGTTGCTGCTGCTGCTGCTGGTGGTTCCAGCTCCAGGCAGGCTGCATCTCAGTTTCGTTTGTTGAAGGTTGCGGGCGGTGTGACTCTGCGTCGGAGCAGCCAAACGACTTGAGGAAGTGCTGAAGCGGAGAGATGTCGATGGGTCGTGTTGTTGTGTGGGCGATCGTGGGACTCGGCCGTGCAGTATCCTCAGCATCCACGAATGCAACCTCATGCTGGCGGAAGCTCTCCTTGATATCAAGGATGGACGCCAGAGCCCGCGTGCACAACGAGGAGGCCTTGTGTGTGTGTGTGTGTGTGTGTGTGTGTGTGTGTGTGTGTGTGTGTGTGTGTGTGTGTGTGTGTGTGTGTGTGTGTGTGTTGTGTGTGTGTGTGTGTGTGTGTGTGTGTGTGAGGGAGGAGGGGTACGATATGTGAGCGTGTTTGTTTGTGTTGTGTGTGTCCAAGAAAGAAAGAGGGACATAGAGAAGCTGAGAGGCACTCCCAGTCTCACGCCCCCGTCCTCACACACTCGCCCTTGACGCTTCTCATTTGTCAGGACACCCCGACCGACACCAGCCGTGTCCTGTCCGTTTCAAGTTAGCAACACACTTGCAGTTTGACATCATCTCTCTATCTCTAACCTGGTGAACGGCAGGTTCTGGCGGCTGAGCGCTGCCTAGGACGGCGTGTGGTAGAGCCACAACCACCACTGTGGCAGCTACAGCGAGCAGCCAGATCAAGCGGGGGTTGGTCATGTCGGTTGAAGTTGTGAAGTGACAGTGAATGCTGCTTGAAAGCCTGAATGCAAGAGAAGAATGAAGCGAGCGACTGGTCAAGTGGTTGGAAAAAGGCGTGGAGGAGAGAAACCCACAGGAAATGTGTGCCGAGACGAAAATGACCGTGAAATGTTGCCAAATTTCTACAAGCGGCACAAGGCACACAGACAGAAAGAGAACACACGCCAAGAAGCATGTTCTGTGTAATTGAGATTAAGGATGTGATACGGCTCAAGCCGAAGCGGTTTGCCACGGACCGCAACGAGGCCCTTGCCTTTGAAATCAACAAGATGTTCACCAACAAAGTCATCCACAAGGTGTGTGTTGTGTGTGTGTGTCTGTGCTTTGTGTGTGTTTTGTGTGTGTATTTGTGTGTGTGTGTGTGTGTGTTGTGTGTGTGTTTGTGTGTTGTGTGTGTGTGCGTTGTGTGTGTGTGTGTGTGTTGTGGTGCGTTGTGTATTTGTGTGTGCGTGTTTGTGTGCGTGCATGTAGATGTATGCTTTCTGAGCCTGTGTGCTGCATGCTTCTGCCACCTCGGTCGCGCTGCCATACTACACTCACACGTGAGCTTGGTTGCGACAGCGAGGGCTGGGCATCTGCTTGTTTGATTTGTTGGACATTGGCGACGGAGAAATCCACCCGAGCGACGGTGCTGCACATGTGCACGTGACCTTCCGCCTACTCATGTTTCGCCCATTCGTGGGCGAGGTCCTCAAGGGCACGATTCGCAGCTGCTCGCGTGACAGCGGCATTCGCGGTGAGTGTGTGTATGTGTGTGTGTGTGTGTGCACGTGTGTGTGAGCGTGTGAGCGTGTGAGCGCGTGTGTGGATGTGTGTGGATGTGTGGGTGTATGTACTTGGTTGTTTGGCCTCAGGCTTCGTCAACCTCACCAATCACACACACACACACACACACA